ATTATCATTTAATAACGAGGATGACTTTGGATTTGCATGCGGCGGATTTGCGGCAATGACGTCATCGAACTATTTCACGACACCATTTGAACGATTGTACGACGCCATTCGAAATATTTTCCATAAATCAGGTAACATTTTATTTATATTCATAAAAATATATGTATATCTATATACAATTAGGTTTTTATTATTTTTTTTCATCATATTGAAATAAAAGAAATTTATTACGATCAATTTTAGTATGTGAAAATGACACATATATTTTTATAAATGTATGTAGCTATGTAATAGTCATATTATTTATGTCTTTGTCTTTTTCTTTTGTCTATATTTTGCTCGAAGTGAAAACATTTCGTATGATATCGTGTTTCTATGAAATTGAGATTCGTGTTTATACAAAGTTCAAACTTGTCGGGCGAACTGTCAAGCGTATCCCCCCTCCAATTTATAATTCGATAGACGCAATAGAATTGAGAGATGTCATTGTATATCGATAACTCGTGGCGATTAGACGTTTAGAAATTTTCTTCATATTGTGTTCTATTTAGTGCGTAATATTTATTTTATAGTTACTTCTTTATCGCTCGTGTGTTCTTATTTAATTAGTATTATTATTTTATTTTATTTATTTTAATATTTTATTCAACATAATTTTTTGGCAACTAAAATCATTTTTTTATTCATTTATAATTCGATTATCGAGTTATAAAAAACTTATATTATTCAGTTCAATTTATTTAATTTAGTTATGATATTTTAGTATAATCTTAATTTCATATATTTTATTTATTTATTTAAAAGTTTTGATTTTCTTTTGTACAGATTTAATTGGTAGCATCGTGATATTACTCGAAGGCTGAAAAAATTCCAATATGGACGTCATGAAGACGCGGTAAAATTTGATATTTCGTTCGTATACATTTTTATTTTATTATTAAATTATTAATTTCTCTTAATTAATTTATGATAAAAATTGCGTTTTACTAAAAGAAAATTAAAAAAATTAAAAATTTATAAAAAATTTTCATAGTTTATTATCAGAAAGCAAATTTTAAAATCTGATAATGAAAATTTCATTATTTTTTAAATATTCATAAATATTTGGCAAAATTTTTATTCATATTTTATACGTTATACTTAAAATAAAAAACAGTATTTTCAAGGCAAATGCTCGATACAAAGAAAGAAGGAAAATATCAAAAGAATATTGCTTCTTCTATCTTTCACACCCCATTCTTAATTTAATATTAATTTCAGAAAATAATTGTGACCGCGCGCAATGTGGTTAATAGATTCAGTGTTTGCTTCGTCATAGTATTTTTAGTATTTTTTAGAGCACAATAGCTCTATAAATTTAATTATAATAAACGCGAAACTAGAGTCAGTGTTTATTTGCCAATTATAATTTATACGCGTTATTAGTTTTTTATTTTTATTTTTTCTTTTTATAAATATTCGTTTTTGATGTAAAGTAGAGTCAGTGTATCAAGAATATAAAATGATTATTTATCATATAAGGTACTTATCTTTATATATTTTCTTTCAATTTATTTATTCTTTGCATTTCACTTTGATCAAGAAATAGATTTTTTTATGGAATATAAATTTATATTTATCTGTCATTAAATTCTCAGTTTTTGGATTTCAAATTTTTTTAAAAATCTAATTTTATTTTTAAAATTTATATTATACATTTATATCATATTATTAATTTTTTTATTAAAATTTCAATAGAATTTCATATTTTTAAGGTTAATTTAATTTCTATCTTCTATTATTTCAAAATTTTTTAATAATTCAAATTGCTTTTATAAAAAAATTCTATTTAATATTTTATTTTTTTTATTAAAGATATTGATGAAGATATCATCTGGATTTAAGTTTTGGAGCATATTTGTGACCGCGTGCAATGCGGTCAATAGATTCAGTGTTTATTACGTTATAGTATTTTTAATATTTTTTAGAGCATAATAGCTCTAAACTAAATTTAATTACAATAAACGCGAAATTAGAGTCAGTGTTTCTTTCGTTAATTATAATTTACAGATGTGTTATTAGTTTATTTTTTATTTTTATTTTTATTTTTTTTTAATATTTATTTTCGGTAAAGTAGAGTCAGTTTTTCTTGAAGAAATAAGGCAATCATCCATCACGCGAAGAGGTAATTATTTATATTTTGTACTTATTTCAAATTTTTTTAAATAATCAGTATTGTCTTAAATTATAATATTCCATTTTATAGTTTCTACTTGATGACTATTTGGTGATGGCATCCTATGAGTTATGGCAACGCAGATTCTTCGCATCTATTGGTGAGTCGCATGTGTTATGTTCCTCCAATCACTCATTCATGTCGTAGGATGAAAGGTCCGAATCGACACGAGTGATTGGTTGTATACGTAGATTTTTGCACGAGCACAGTGATCACGGGTATATATTTATAATATACTCGTGAATAATAAAATTTACTTGTGTTTTTTATTTATTAGTTCAGGTTAGGGTCTTCTTGCGCTTCACGGTTTTTTAATAATAATATTAGCAATTTTATAATATAATATTCTAATATCAACATAATACAAATTCTATATGAAATTATAATTTATTAGTTTGAATTTGTATAATTTAAAATAAATACAATTAAAATCATAAAAAAGGATGTATATGAATAAATAATAAGTAATATTTATGCTTAATATTAAAGTAATTTGAATTTAATAGTGGAGAAATCGGATATCCTCCGACTTCGTTATAATTATATGTACAATAATTAGAAGAATGAATATTCATTATCATTAATTCGATAATAAATCATTTTCATTTCTTTTGCTTCATAATAACAAGTTATTCGTATGATTTTCGTATAATATAATTTAACATTCAGTAGATTCAAAGTTCAATTTTCTTCGTAAAAAAGATATGAATTAAATTTTAAGCAAGAAGACATTTCGCGACAGGTAGATTTCAGAATCAGAGCAATAAGTTTTGAATATTATTCTTTTGGCTTCGAATATATGCTCTAATGAAGAAATCACCTGAGGATATTTTCATTAATATTTACTTTTCTAAATAAATTTTATTTATTCAATATGCTAAAAATTTAATAATTTATTAATCTAACAAAGTAAAATATAAAGTAGAGTCAAAAATAATTTTATTCAATAAATATTAAAATAAATAATTAAATAATTTGAAATTATATATATAAAGAATATAATGCAAAGTTGAAAAATATTAGCCCGTTAGATATAAAATATTTATACTAATCTATCTTTTTAGCTCAGGATTTTCAGGTTTAACCCTTTCCGTACCCATTGCCAGGATCTCATTCACGTGCCCAGGTGCTACTTGGATGAGAGAGAGGCGATGAGTATGATGATCATAGTTCATAAGGTTCTAATAATTTTTCAGCGACTGACGATGCGTTAGTGTATCGTGCGCGACGTATTTTCCACATTGTGTGTGTATGGTTAGGCTGTGGAATTGCGTCGTTTCGTTTAACATTTTGCACAGTTTAATTTGAAATATTCAATACGATTATTCTCATTACAATTTCTAACGATTCTAGCAAAATTTATATATATGAAATCATAATTTTTATTTTCAAATTGCAATTAATATCAAATTTCGTGACACTTTACAAGTAATTTAATTTTCTCTTCTTGAAAGCATATCTTTCTATTAATAATATTACAATTAAATAATATATTCATAATTAAAATTAAGATATATACATATTTTTTATCGCGTTTCACGCAATGGTCGCTAAATATCGTCAGTTGATTTCAGGAAAATGGTACGTACAGTTAGAGTGTGAATGTAGTATGCCAAGCTCGGGTGTCGGAGGCGTCCCGGGACGTTTCCCTAGTGTAGGCTTTTGCGCCCGAGTATTATGTGTGAGAATCGTGGAATGAATGTGTTGGTATGCCTGTTTTGCCATTTTTTAAATATAGGGTTAGGTAGGATAGGTAGCATACTTTCTGGTGTGTGTGTGTTTTAATCGTAAGTAGGTAGGGCCGGGCAGATTGTCACAGTCTCTGATCGGGTAGGCGCGTTTTCGCGTGACAATCTGTTTCAGGAAATATAATTTGAAGAATCGAGAGTGAATTTGGAGCGAATGGAGCATGCCACTCGTTTTTGATTTTGCTCATCGATTTTTCGAATTTCGCGGTCGCGGTCGTGATTTGGTTTCGAAACGAACGATGCGCTTGAGATTCTGCACGTGTACGGACAACGATCATTACGATCATTGATCGTTCATGTGCACTTAGCTTTCGCGATTTAGTCAATTTTTTTTATTCTTTTTTTGTTTGCGATTAGTGAATCTCGAGCCTAGATTTAAGTTTCAGCGGGCATTGCGCCCGAAGGAGGAAGACCGAAGAGGCCCGACAAACTGTCACGAAGAGGGCTGCAACGAATGGTTTCTCATTTTTTGGATTTTTTTCGGATCTAAAGGATGGGAAGTCATTATTATTATTTTATCACTGTTGCTCGTTTTAGCATCACGTAATAATTGTTGTGTTGTCTGGCCGATTGCATGCGGGCCCATCATCTAGATCCAGTCATCATGGGCATCGCGAATTTTTTATTAGTGTTGCGATTAATTAAATAACGGGTTGAATTAGTGTTGCGTTTACAAATTTTGCGTTTAAAATTAATGTTTTGATAAAAGGATGATCGCGTTTGCTGTAGTGTTGCGTTGTAAAAGATATCGTGATTGCTTTTAAATACTTTATTTATCGATTAATCTATTTTTTATTTTTATTTTTTTTTTCATTTAAATTTAAATTCATCCTGTAGTTTTATAATCTATAATACATATCTTTTTATCCATAATAATAATAAATTTTGTATTAAATTCATTTTAAAAATTAATGTTGCAATGATCGCGTTGTTTAAAGTAGTGTTGCGTTTATAAATAATCGCGTTTTTTATAAATAATATTTCGTTTATATATTGCCCGCACTTCTTCCATTTGGACTGTGGAAGTATGTTCCTGCTTATGAATCAGTGCAATCAAGAGTTGCACAAAGATGGTTGTACAACGGCAGCCTGTAATATAGCTGCAATCTTCCGTTATTAGTGTTGCGTATGATAAAATTATGAGTGCAAAAATTAGTTTATTAGAATTTCGTAAATAATTGAAATACTTCAGAGGTATGTGTTTTCGTGAGTTTTCTATTTTTTTTTTATGTTTATTTTTTTTTTGGTTGATTAAGAATTGCAAATACAATGAAGCACTCTTCGCGTTTTCTTTTGAGACTTTAGTATATTAGTGTTGCGAAATAAAAAATACTTCCACTCACGGTTTGTTCGGATTTACATTGAGTGGAAAATTATTTTGATAATCCTTCTGATTATCTTTTTGTTGTCTTTTTCTTTTCAGCATCCCCTTATAAGAGCATTTGTTATTGAAAATACTGTTAAAAAAATTTTATTTTTTATTGACGATTTTTCATTTTAAATTATAAATCATTTAAATATAATAATAAAATATTTTAATGTTTTTTATTTTATATATAAATTATTTTTTAATCGAGTAATTAAGTTTGTTACAGGTACGAATTGAAGACAGTAAATGGGAGGAAAAAGGTATAGTTATAAAAAAATATTTAATTTTTTTGTGAGAAACTAATTCTCTATGATTTCAGTTCTGTTGTATATATCTTTTAACTTTTATATTAGGTAGGATCAAATATTTAGCTATTTGATAAGTAAGATTTATAGGTTATATGTTTTATGTTTTTTCCTTTATTAAAAGAGAAACACTCCCTTTTCCACTTTGGTCTTCCATTCTCGTCTTCCACTTTGGTCTTCCATTCTCGTTTTCCACTTTGGTCTTCCACTTTCGTCTTCCACTTTGATTTTCCATTCTCGTCTTCTACTCTGATCTTCCACTCTGATCTTCCATTCTGCTCTTCCACTCTCGTTTTCCATTCTGCTCTTCCACTCTCGTTTTCCATTCTGGTCTTCCACTTTCGTTATCCATTCTGATCTTTAAATCTCGTCTTCCATTGTCGCCTTCGATTCTCATTTCTAATTCAGAGTTTCCTAAAACAATATTCCTATTCTTCAAGGCAACATAATCATAAATGTTTGCCATCCTTAAATTTTCTCAAACGTCAAATGTCAAATTCTCATTTATATTTTTCCTGACCACGTCTAGTTTTAAATTTCTAAAAATTGTGATATTATTAATATAATTGTAGGTTGGGTTATGAAGAAAATCTTTTAAATTATCAATAGGCAGGATGTAAAAAAAAATATTTAATTCTCACATATATAGAAATAAGAAAAGATCTTTTAGGTAGGATGTCTAAAATGTTTCAATGTTATAAGTTTATTTTACTATCCTTTATGGAAGTAAAAGATTGTATTATAGAAAACATTACATAAATAAAATATATTTAGAATTAAGTGCATGCACAATGAACAATTAATTAAATGGGTAATGTAATGTACTGTAGATGATTGAGTGAAATGATGTAATGTTTTGTGGGAAGCTTAGTTTATTTTCTTTCCTCTTTTCTATATTCTTTTTATTATCAATTATTTTTCATTTTCATAACGATGGAAATGTAAAATATTGATAAAAAATTTCTTTTGTTAGATTATATTTGTAGATTTAGATTTCTGCTTTAGGATTTTTATAAATTGCTTTCGTTGCTTTGTATTGCATAATTGCATCAATAATTTGAATGTTTTGCAAGCATATATCAAAAAGAGAACTTATTTGAAAATAAGTTTTCTTGTAATAGAATGGATGTGAATGTTGTGATTGGACTAATGAGAGCTGAATAATTAATAATAAATTATTATTATCTAACTACAATATATATATATAATTATATCACTATATTTTAATATCAGTGATATAATTATATATTTTATAAAAAGTAATGTGTATTAATCAGCAACGAATGCTATTATATTTTTTTATAGGTAAAAAACTAAAAAATAATAATATAAAATAATAGTAATATTATTATTTCCAAAAATTGTGAAATATATAAGCATAATTTTTTAATTTATAAAGATATAATTCTATATGTATTTAGATTATTTCATGTTAGATGGCGCAGGAACACTGTTTTTCAAGTCGGTATTTTAGAATATGTTTCACGAAATCTCACGAAAGATGTCACGTTTATTCTGTTTTTCGTACATAGAGAAAAATTAACTCTCTAAAAATACTCAAGAGGTGGCGCTGAATGTTAATAATTTATCCTTGTCGTTTATCTGTACATATATAAGAATTGAGGTACAGCGCCATCTCTTAATCGCCGAAAATATTTCTTTGAAAGCATCAGAGATGGCGCTAATAGTCTATATTTTTCACTTATTATATCTTTGTCCTTCTTTCATTATTTACTTTCCTTGTCTATTTTAGTTTCATGTAGTAACCTACAGATGGCACTAATAGTACTGATTCCACGGGTTAATCACGGGTTTAATTACTATCTTTTTATTGAAATTTTTCGATAAAAAAGGGAATGTTATTTTTTCATTTTAATATTTTATAATCAGAAATTTTTCACATTATCACATTTCGTTATTATAAATCTCTAATCTATCGTATAAAAACAACATATTTTCATAATTTTCAACATCACGAATCTTCATTTATTATATTTATTATTCATCAAAAAGAAAAAGAAAAATTTAATAAAATAATTTGCAATAATTTACGATATTAAGTGAATTGTTTCAAATGAAGCTAGAAAGTATTTACCGACTTCTGTATTCTTTCACAGACATTAAGCATATCGTTTCACTTGCTTTGATTTGCAGCTTCGTTAATTTTTCCGATACGTAACGACAATATCGTTATGCATTCGTCGACGTGTGAGCAATTTGCATTTCCTACTTTTGCAGACAGATCTTGGGATAGATGCATTATTGAGATATCGCTTAATACTTTCGACATGGAATCGAAAAATATAAAGAAGATGTAATTATGATTTATGCTTCGTTCATTTCCATAAGAAAGATAATAACAATATTATTCAACGAAGAAATGTGTCAAATAGCAATATATTGTCAATACTGTGTCAAATCGATCGTTTGGTTGATTGATAGTTTGGAATTTGAAATTTTTTAAATTTTTATACTTTGTTTTCGATTCTATTTAAAATGAAATATTTATAATGAGATAATAGCATCGCGTAAATGTATTAAAAAAAATTAAATATTTCACGTGAATTTATTTTATATTAATTACTTTTCGTTTTTAATTTATTCTACAAAAATATTATTTGTTATAAACATTAATTTCATTATTACCCGTTAATTGGTGATGAATTTTCATTTACGATAAAATCCACCGATTTATTAATTAAAATTCAAGAAATATCTCGTAATTAATTACGCGTCAAATTCGAATAAATTTTAATCGATAATGTAAAATGTAATTTATATGAGCCAATATTATTTCATCACGCAACTAATACTTTACATAAACATCATTATCGTATATTCGTAGCATTCCTGTCCGTGAAAATGAAGATACACATTCGTCGTAATATTCCCTTTTTAAGTAACAATTAAATATTATCGTTATTTATTTATACAAATATTTTAATATATACATTTAAAAGAAACATAAGTATTAATAAGGTAAATCATTATTAATCATATGAAATTTACTTATGTTTCGTTTAAAATTGATTGCATATACATCTTAACATTCGTTCGCATTTTTATTTTTATTTCTTTTTTGGTGTAACGTTGAAAATTCTACCATAATTTAATCTCCAAGTCTCTTTTACTCAATGTAATTCCATTAATAAATTATTGCATTAGATTACTACCTTATATTAAATGCAAAATATAATTCAAACATTCTAGTCTCGTTTTTATCGTTTTTAAAGGCATTACGTTCACATATCTCTTCATATACGTTCGCATTTCTGCCTCTATCGATACTATCCTCTCGTTGATTTTCAGAAAGGCATCGCGTTGCACTATTCCGGTTGAATCGTTCTACCACCCACGCAAATATTATATCGTTGTCGCGATAAAACGATGTTGCTGTATCGTTATTGTCGGTTTCATTTTTGCATACCTGTCTGAAGAGATTTGATATCTTCGAGAGATTTATAATGGAATTAAGATTGGAATCTTGTCCTAAAAAAGAAATCATATTTTCCAATATTTTTTGAAATAATCATGCAACAATTACCACCACGAATTTTATCATTATAACACCTATGTGTCGTGGATGAAGAATTAATGAACTCGTTAGAAATTCCTTGGATTCTCTTCAACTTCCATAAATTGACCAAAGTTTTTCTCACTATGATCAGTATAAAATAAGGTCGAAAATGGTATATGAAAAATTCCTTTAAATTTTATAATCTCTTCTTTTTGGTTTACACTTGAACGCTTTATCGTGCAAGAGATGAATGACTTGGACACTTGGTTGACCCAATTGCACACAACGATTGAACCGAGAGCGAACAATTTGTGGTGTCTTTAACGAAATCAATGCGAATCTTGGAAGGCTGGACAGGAGCCAGATTTTGATGTCGTCTACGAGAGGACGTTGAACCGTCGTTTCGATTCCTCACTCTGCAAATTTACCAAGCCTTTTACACGTTCTTGGACAAAAAACGGTAGGAATCGAGCCAAACGGATCGGCAACAATTCGAGAATGGCGAAACAATGGATATAAAGGGAAGGCGTTCCACAACGAATTGAGAATTTTTATCAACGCATTGGTTGGCAAACGGTTTCGTTTTTACACCTTGTCGTATATTCGTCCTTTGAATAGTGATTTGATTTTGGAATTAATTTAGTTGCTCGAAGTCACGTTTAAAGCTACAATCATCTTAAGATAAGATTATAAGATTATCGTTTCAAAAGAAATACAGATCTGATTTATTTTTCATTGATATTAGGAAATTATTCAGTCATTTAGCAAGTGTTTTGCAAAATTAATCAACTAATAATATCAGAAAATTTGTTGATTAGATTATTATTTTACAATGATAGATTAAATAGAATAATCAGATGATTAATAATCGGGTGATAATTAAAAATTAATTTTTCAAACGGTATTAAAAGTATTCATCTCGAATTTTGCAAATAAAATAATTCGAAAGAAACAGAGTAGTGAAAGTTTTAGGAAGATAATTGCCACGCAACAACAATATATTGTTATAATAGAGATTTTTATATAAAAGGGGAGATTAAAATGAATACAGATATGTAACAGCTATATATACACACGATATGGAAGTGATAACATTTGATCAAATCGTACAATGATCTGGTAGAGCAAATAAAGTTTTAAAATTTGCATTGAGATTGAATAACCACGGTTATTAAACAGAAATTTATTGTTTTGCCCCGATTGGCTCTAATTTCGTATTATTTACAACCGGGAAAAAATTCATCATTGCATGTTAACATCGCACTAAATAATATCATGTTGCGTTGCTGTAAATACTGCATAACCAAAAATTTACATACATACATTTGCATAAAAATAGAATAAATATTGCGCATTTTTCTGTGTATTTATCGACACAAGAATCTTCCGAATTCTCAACGAATTCAACGATTGCACAAAAAACTAAATTCACTTTAATACCTTGCATAGTTATAAAACTTCGATGTGCATCGAACAATTATTCAAATAGCAAAGATCTATATAATAATACTCAAGATCTTCACACCCACGCAACTAAATCAGAAACCTACTTCATCATTTCCGGTATAACACGTATAACTAAATCGTTAATCGCGTTGAATTCCCTTTTATTTCCGCCAAAGACATTGATTTACCGGCATCTGTCGATAATGGATGGCCACAGAAATCTAATCGGCGACTACTCCATTTCCCGATCGAAAACGCGATATCGAGAAGTGCATTGTCTTCCTCTTCTTCTTTCGGAAATCGCCAACGACAATCGTCGATTCGCGGTGTACGAGTATCGCGATCCATGGCCTCCTCGTTGATTCCTCGTAGGGAAATCAAAACAAAGATCGCGATAGTATCCGACGAGAAGCATCGCGAAAAGAGAAAGATGAATTGATAGCGGTGGACT